CTAGACCCATAAACACCTACCACATCTGTCACCCTCTCGGGCTGGCATCACAGGGAGTCCGTGCACAGACTTAGCAAAGGAAGGACCCCACAGAGGGCTGTCAGAGGGAAGACCACACCCCACACAGGCCGGGGTCTGCCCTGGGGTCTGGGGAAAGTCACTCTCCTTGCTGCCTGCTTCCCAGCTCCCTGTCAGCAGGTTGAAGTTAATTACAACTCTGACATCATCCGCTCTGGCATATAACCTCTTAGGTCATTCTGTCATGTTCAGATTCAGGCCCAGTGTCTCATCTCAACCTCTGGGGTGGGCTGCCCCACAATGGCTCCCTGCTTTTTTGCCTTCTGGTCACTCATCCTTGTGTGATCCCCACACCCTCCCCTGCAGGGTAGATGGACATTGGGCCCGGGTCCTGACATGTAGGCTGACTTATGAAAATGTGCATGACTTCCACTCATTCCCAGCTCCAGTGTTCATTCTCTCTGTCTCTCAGTGCCTCTCTGTTTGTCCTGTCTCTCTCTCTCTCTGTCTTTCTCTCTCCTTCCGCCTTTCTGTGTTTCAGTCTGTCTCTTTCCTGACTGTATGTGTATATACATTTATGTGTATATGTGTTTATTTTTGTGTGTGTAATGTTAGGGCCCAGGGCAGGTCACTTCTGAAAATGCCTTGATGACATATTGATTATTTTGAACTCATGTTACTGAAGAAAAAACATCTTTGAAAGTTGTGCAGGAACTTTGGTGGAATCAGCTCTGAGGATCAGCACTGCTGGGGAAGGGATGCACCTGTGGCCCTTTGATGTGTCCTGCACCCTGTTCTCCCAGAGAGGAGCGTCCATTTGCTCTTCCCTCCAGGGGACCTGCTGGGGACTCTGCCTGCTCATTTTGTCACCAGGCTAAAAATCTGCCAGTGTGATAGTGATCAGTGCTATCTACACAGTGTGTCTGTCTGCCTGTGTCCTCATCTGAGAGGTCGAGAATCTCTAACACACACCTGCCACCTGCACTGCCTTTTGTTGGAACTGCCTGTGTGTGTTCTGTTTCTTTTCAGAACACTGGGTTTCAAGAGGTTTTTGGACCACAGGGATGTGAAAGCTTTCTCCAACATTGGGTCATGAGGAACACTTTTTCCAGGTCGTGGTTTGTCTTTCCAGCTGTCTTTCTTGGACTTTGCTTTTGTTTGTTTGTTTGTTTGTTTTATTTTGCCACAGGAAAATTTAAGCATCTCCTTTCTGGCTCTGGTTTCACCCTTAGAACAACAATGTCTACCCTGAGATTATGCACCATAGTTACTAAAAGGGCTTCATTTAGTACGTCTCATCTTTAATCCATCTGGATTTTCCTCTCAAAATACAAAAATGCTAATTTATGTAAAAACAAAAAAAATCATCATTTCCTGCTTAAGATATGTGGGCAGACTAAAAAACCACCTTTTATATGATTGCATTGATAGGGAACCTCCAGGATAGATAAAGACACAGAGAGTGAAAAGGGATTAGGGCTTGTCATGGCCTAGGGGAGGGAGGATGTGAGGTGTGCGTTGGATACAAGCTTTCACTTTGAGGAAGGAAATAGTCTGAAACCAGTGATGTCGGTCTCACAGCATTGTGAATGCACTTAATGATCCTTAATTGCACAATTTAAAATGGTAAAAGGCTAAACTTTATTCTTATAAACTTAAAACATAAAAATAGAATATACTATAATAGAAAAGAACAAATGTGACTCCATATTAGATCTGTTCTTTTGGCTTTAACCTTGTGCCCTATTTTCTAGGCTTAGTCTTACTAGCTCTATATCTTTTATAAAACAATGTTGCCTTTAGCTTGAAATATACAGGAGAGCCTATTCTCAAGGCTCTGACCCTTAAGGATATTAACACTTTTGCACTTCTATATTAAGACAAGTTGCAGAATAGAAAGTAACTTTAGTTTTCTTAGAGGTTTTACAGAGGCACTATGACCTGATCCACGTGGACAGCTGCAGACCAAGATAATGGCAGACTAAGGTCCTGGAGAACCATTTATTCCAAGTCAGATTTCAGGCTCCTTTTCTACTAAAAAGCTGAAGAGCTGTGGTTGGTTGTTGCAAACTTCTTGGTGTAGGATTTCTTTGTTCTTGGAATCCTTTGCAGCTGTCCACCTGGGCCAGATCATGGTGTCCCTGTAAAACCTCCAACAAAACAAACGTTATTTTGTATTCTGCAACTTGTTGTCTTTATAGGAGTGCAAAAGTGTTAATATCCTTAAGCGTCACAGCCTTGAGAATAGGGTCTCCTGTATATTTCAGGCTAAAGGCAACATTGTTTTACAAAAGGTGCAGAGCTAGCAAGACTAAGCCTAGAAAACAGGGCACAGCTTTAAAGGAAAAGGAACAGAAGTAATATGGAGTCAGTTTTGTTCTTTTCTATTACAGTGCCTTTTGGTGAGAGCTAAGAGGATGTTTCCTCTGCGGGTCCTCCTCTGCCCCAGGCTGGGGTTCAGGCAGAAGCCCAGCCATGTTCACCATGACTGTGGACCTAATATCCCACAGAGAAAGTAACAATTATTGGTGATTAAAATTGCCAGTCAAATACCCTTCAATTACCTGTAAACTATACTACAGCAGGGGATGTCTCATTGGCCAGTCAACAGTCAGTCTCCCCTGATGCAATGGACCAGCGTCGTGGCGGGCTCCAAGGTGACCTGGCCGGTGCAACTGCCTGCTTTGCTCTCCAGCCTTTGCTTCCTAACGTGGACACTTTCAAAGCTCCCGTCCCTCTTCCCTCTGGACTTGTGTGAATGAACAAGGTCCCTGCACCCACCTGGGCTGAGCCCAGGCCACGCATACAGCCCCATGTACACAGCCCACTGCCTGCTGTCCACCCCTGGGCTCAAGTGCACCCTCGGAACTCCCCCACCCCCACAGGTCCGTGTGCCCAATGCCTCCGCCTAGGGGTCCAGATCACCATCAGGACCATCAACCACCCAAGGCCCACAGGCCAGTGGCAGGCAGCCTGGGATCACCCTGACCTACCCGCTCAGTTGAGGCACAGGGGGCGGGGCTCAGGGTGCCAGGGTCAAAATTGGAACCACCTCCAGCCCAGCCTGTTTCACTCTGTAGCCTCAGATACTAGCTATGCAGGTGCACACTAGGCTGGATCCCCCGCTGGTGGGATTCGCCATCGTGGCAGTCGCCATCGTGACTGTGAGGCAGGAAGCCCCACAAAAAGACCAGCAGGACTGCTAGGCAGGGCTGCTGCTCTCCTCTTAGCACTGTCCAGTTCCCTGGCCCAGAGGCTCTATCTCACTTCTTGCCTCTAAAGCGGCT